CTTACGGTATACCTAAATGAGCAGTCTGCTTATGGTTTACCTAAATGAGCAGTCTGCTTATGGTTTACCTAAATGAGCAGTCTGCTTATGGTGTACCTAAATGAACAGTCTGCTTATGATGTACCTAAATGAATCGTATACAGAGTTAAATTGTTCAGTATGAAAACCAAGTAGTAACTAAAACCTCCAAGCAAAAACATAATCCTGTGTGTGTGTGTGTGTGTGTGTGTGTGTGTGTGTGTGTGTGTGTGTATTTACATAGATCTCATTTGGGGACCAAAATGTCCCAAAAGTGTGGTAAAACCTGAAACATCCTTAGTTTTGGGGACATTTCTCAGGTCCCCATTTGGATAACCACGATATAATAAAAATCTGTGAATACAATCAAAATGTCAAAAGTCATTTTCTTTGGTTGCTTATGGTTAAGGTTAGGCTGGGTGGTTAAGGGTGTCGTGATTGGGATTACAGACATAGAAATGAATGGAAATTCCCCATTTAGGTAGGTATGCCAACCGATTTCCCCACTATGTGATTAAAAACGTGTGTTTAAAACAGTGTCGCCTTCGGGTGGCGCCCTCTCAGTGTGAACACTGTCCGTGGGATAGCAGCCACAGCCCTCATTGTTACTTACGGGGCAACGTGTCGACGGCGCGGTGCTGCTTCAGACGGGGCCTGTGGTTGGCTGGCCCTTCCCCTTCCCGCTGAAGTGGCTCCTGGGCCACAGCCAAAGCCCCCCCACCCGACCCCTCCCCCTACCTAGCCCTTTCTGGTCAACCTCCAGTGGCGCGGAGATGAAAGGACGGACTCGCACCCCTTTGTGTCAGCGTTTTCCTTTTGTCTGCCAGGCCAATATAATAGATTGTCCCTCTTCATTAAAGAGGAGTCCATCAGCGCAAAGCTGATCGTTCTGGGCCCAGTAGCCTGGCAGCGGTGTCACCGCATTGCATGCGATTCCGGTGCCCCCGCTGGCATGCTGGCACGCAGCGCAATGCCCGTAAACCTCACGGTTTCCCAGACGATGCGGGCGAAGCTTCATTTACGTAGCCTGACGACACAGCCGTTTACATCTGCCCCCCCCCCCCCGCTATTGCTGACATGTTTATCCCTGGACTCTACTAACACTTCTTTATACCCAATGTCACTGCGGCTTGATATATCCTGTCAGGAAACCCACGGCTGTCATCTGGCAGTGTGAACCTTCTATTTTACACGCTGCTGCCGGAGATACGCAAACATTAGGAGATTTAGAATCACACAGCTCTGAAACACTGGATATACCCGCTGATGTGCAAGTATTACATTCCGTGCGCACCCGTCCATTTGCGGTACACGCCTGTGCTTCGTTCAGCGGGACCCCCTTCCCCCTCCGCCATGTCCGAGGCACCCCTACTACAGGAGACTTGAAAGTAGCTTTCCGGCAAGTAGGGAGAGCAGCTTATGGACTCAAGATTGTAATCTCGGCGTACAAGCAGATGGAAGTGACCCCTAGCAAAGACTGGCAACGTCCCCGGCTCATAGAGCAAGGGCTTTGATGTATTCTTCTGAGGAGCACTGGTAAGATTATGAGGTGCAGGGGATTGATTTGAGAGAGTACAACCAAAAAAAAAAAAACCTGCTTGCAGACCATTTGAAAGAAAAGCTTTTTTTTTTTTTTTCTTTCAGGTTTGCTGTTCTGCATTTGTTGGTTATGATTGTTTTTTTCCTCTCTGGATCACGGTGTAAGTGTGTAATCTGTATTCTGCCAGAGTATAATATTGCAATGTGTGTTTGAATGATGCACATTTTTTTTTTCTTTTTTCTTAAAGCCTATGTCCCATCCTACCCCACCCCCATAGTAACACTCAATAACACGTCAGATGAGCACCGGCTCACGGTCACTCCGCTCCTATTTTTGCATTCATGTGTTTCCATGCCTTTGTAAGTTTGAGTGTGTGCATAAGTATGTGCACTCCATGTTTCTGCGTGTTGTACGTGTGTATGCTATATGACTGTATAAGGCCCAGGGTGCTCTCTCCAGTCAGGGCCCATCCTCCTCCCCAGCCCCCCAACCACCCCCCCCCCGGCCGGGAAATGAATTCAGTTCCGGGCAGAATTTGCTCCCTGCTCACTCTCCTCTGCTCTGAGAAGTTTACTGATTTCTCCCAGCGGATTCCTGGGGAATTTATCGGCTTGTGGCTGGCAGTCACAGATTAAGGTAAATGTCGATCAGTAATGACCCTCTACATGTTAGTATTGCAGTAAAGCCAGGCTTTTATGTCAAAGATATCGGAGGGGGAGCTATTACACATGACAGGGGTGATCAAGGGACTCCGGACCAAGGCAAGCATTATTAAATATTGACTAGTTCTGTGATTTATGTAGAGCTGCAGGAAAAAAGGGACTTTTTAAGCATTATATATTCTTCAGGCCTGAAAACTGCACATTTGTCTTATGCTGGGAGTAAGGAGAAGCGCGTCTGCGTGTCTTTACTGACGGCAAAAACGGGGAATAATATTGGTTTAAAAAAAAAAGAGAGCGAGTCCGTTGGCTTTATCATGCAATATGGTTTTAAATCTGCGGCTAGGGGAAACGGATGAGGTGTAATGGCAGGACTTACAGAAATCAGCCAAGCTGAGGGCAGAGGGGCAGGGTGGGAACGATTCGTCAGGGGGGTGCTGAAGACGCAGATAAATTAATTAAAGTTTCTTTACTTTTTCTTGAACCTGTAAAATGTTTCCGGACCCTTTAAACACTGACAGTAGTAATGTATGTAATATGTATATCGAGTTATGGGGCTGCGGTACGCTGGTGAATGAGGAATGGATTTTGATGTGCTTTTAGTCTATCCTGACACTTCATGCCTATTGATTTCTTTATGGTGCCACATTTCAGCCCGTTAGATGGCCTGGGGGGATGGGGGGGGGTTGGACTTTCACTGGCACTTTCCTTCCCCCTTTTTCCCATTGGTGCTCGTCGCCCCGAGACGCAAGGTGAGAACTTAAGGAAATTAATTTCCTTTTAATTTGCAAGCAGCTCCATATTTCCTGCGGTCGATTGCATTACTGTAAAGTGCTGGCAGATCCCCCCCCCCCTACTACCACCACTCCCCACCCTAGTTAATGCACTACAGGCACATGGAGGCTGGACAGAATAAGGTACAGCTGCAGTTATGTTTTTTAAGAAGGTAGCAGCAGGGAGAGGTGCATGCACCCAGGCATTTGAATGATAAAATCCAATGCTTTGATAATAAGTTGTGCAGAATATGCTGTACGGTATTTTAAAGCAAATTATATTGTGCTTTTCAGGTCTATTTTTGTATGAACTTGAACCCTTGCTGTTAAGATGTACATTTTTTGTTTAAACTTTAAGTAGTGAGCACATTGCCGATCTGCTAAAGTTCCAGCCTGAACTGCGATCAGCACATCCATTCTTATTATATTTAAATGTTCTTTTTTAGCGCGGTGCATCGCGTTGCCACGGTGTGCTGTGTCCAAATCAGTGAAGTGCCAGAGAGAGACAATCACTCACATTTTTGGATTAAGGGTTTGGCTGGATGCACTGGACCCAGGGGCCTCTGGGAGTTCGTGACGGCCATGTAGCCCCACAGAGGGAGCACAGCATCGAAATGCTGAATTCTAGACACTTTGGTGCATATTTTTATACCATAACTCTTCAGTTACCCTGCAACTCAGTGAACTGAAGCCTCCTGCTGTTATGGCCAGTATCTGGGGATTCTTGTTTAAATTTTAGGGTCTTGTAAATGGGGGTGGTGGGCTTAGTGGGTTTGAGTCCTGTGCCTGTGATCAGAAGGTCACTGGTTCAAATCCCCGGGTCAGCAGAGTGACTTTACCGTTGGGCCCCTAAGCAAGGCCCTTAACTCCCAGTTACATCAGAGGCTATCCTTAACTCCCAGTTACATCAGAGACTATCCTTAACTCCCAGTTACATCAGAGACTATCCTTAACTCCCAGTTACATCAGAGACTATCCTTAACTCCCAGTTACATCAGAGACTATCCAACCATACTTTCTCAATAGTACTCAATTTCACTTTGAATAAAAGTGCCTGCTAAATAAAAACATGTGTTTTTATATCAAATCCCACATCTAATCTCAATTCTGCTATGAACTACAGGTGATTTTACTGATTTTGTTTTGCGTTGTCCCTGCAGCAGAGAACTCTTCAGTGGTAGAAGACACGCGAACTCTGCATACCAGCACTGAAGCCGGCTGCTGGTCGACTATCGTCGGCCTGCTCCCTTTCTCCAGCTACACTGTGTGGGTGAATGCCAGCAATAGTCAGGGCTGGGTGGTCAGTCCTCCCATTGCCATCACACTGCCCCCTGGAGGTGAGTACCAGAAATATGTTCTTTTTTTTATTTATTCAAATGATCAGTACTGTTGCAACAGAAAACATGTGAACAAAGACCTTTTATCCATCATCCTCCTAAATATGTTATGGTTTTCTGAGTCATTATGGACTGCCAGTGGGTACACATTAGACATCTGGTGTTCGAAAGGGAGAGATGTCTAGTTGTTTAAAACCAGTGGCATTTAATTATTTTTCGTTTGTGACAATTGAAGATAAGGTCTCCTTTTTAACGAGTTTATTACTGTACTAAGGACCCACTTTTTACACTGTTAAATTGTTGTTGATTTTAATTATGACTCTTATGATTCAGAAATGTTCAGTTTTATGACCCTCCCCTGCAAATGAAAAGTAACAACTCATTGGTTAAATAGGCTTTGGTCTGTGCTTCCTTTTACTTAATGGTGTGAAAACTTATTAAGCTGATTTACACGCGGAATGGCGTCGGGCAGCGCGTGCCGCACACCCGGGTATGTGTGTGTTTAAGGAGAAGGTCAATTAGCCGTGCGGGTTATAAAAAGGCAATCTTCAGTGTTTGGTCTTGAGAGGAGCACGTCGAGGTGTTGCGATACGGGCCGCCTCACGCGGCGGGGAATACTGTAGGTGTGTCATCAGGTGTCTTCGACATGTGTGTGGCTCATACAAGTGGGTCTGCCTATGATCGGAAGGTTTCAGGTTCGAATCCCATCTTCGGCAAAATAGTCAGGTGTCCATTGACCTTTGAGCAAGGTCCTTAATCCCCCTAAAATGCTACAGGGACGACAGATTAATGGCCGACACTGGGCTCAGACCTCAGGCTTCATTTTTAACTCTGCATATGTCTAAAAGCAGAGCATGATGGGATATGTGAAAAGAAGCATTTCAGTGTGCCTGTGCTCATACTTGTGCAAATGGAAAATAATTTTATTTCACACTTCAAGTTCTGATTCACAAGAATATGAAGGGCTGATATTACTGCTACTGTTAGTAGTATCCATGTAGTATTAGTAGTGGCATACATGTAGCCATTGCTGTTTGCACATAGGGGGAGTAGAGTGGGCTTTGTGACCACTTACTAGTTATGGTTTAGAACACATTAACTTGCTTCACTTGTTATGGTGTCTGTGCCGTTTCCAGAAACACCGCACCTTTATTATATGCTGTAAGTGTCCTTTGATCACTGTGCCACCCAATCACATATAAGCATTGTTCAGTCAACCAGCTTTCCTGTACATACAGTACATAAAAATCCATTGATCCTCCATAACTGCTCATCCAGTACAGAGTTGCAGTGAGCGCAAGGCAGGGAAACCCCAGAGTGAGATGTCAGTACGTCATGGAACACACACTCACCGACTCACAACAAAAGACTGTTTTTAATGCAATTTAGAGGCACCGTTATAGGCTGGATGCACTGGCCCCTGGTACCCGTCGGGTAACGTGAATACACACTGGGTAAACCCCACATGTAAACATGCTCTTAGCAAATAGCATTGTTGTTTATATTTGTACCAAGACTTGAAAAAGCATTAATGAAACAATGCCTATTAAGTGAAAGCTTCTTATGAGGACAGGCTGAGAATAATTTGTAAAAGCCAGTTCCAACGGGAGACCTACACAGAAAAAGGTTCTCTAGTTGGCAAAATTATTTAAAGAAGAATGAATAAAACTCACTGACAGAATTGTAACTTTAAAGTAACTCATAAAAAAATATATTTTTTTAATTTGCTGTGTTACAACAAAACTATCCTCCAGTAAAGCTTTGCTGAAAACATTGACACCAGTGTTTGCTTTTATCGTACCTGCCTTATTTTTTGTCCAGGTACTTATGTGGAAAATGTATTTATCCTGCATCAAACATGCTTGTCAAATATGTGTTGAAGTTCTGCATTGAAACTCTACTGAGAATCCCCCTCTACGTACTGTGGTCAGAAATTGTGGGTTCAGAGGCCATCAGTGCCAGGAATTGAACTTTATGGCAGAAGCTTTATCTTATGTACTGCATCTTGATCTCTTGTTTCCATGGTTGTCTTTTGGACTAGGCAGCCCAGTGTGTTCATGCAGGTAAACGAGTGTGGGCTCTGGGGTGTTCTGGTGTGCTAGCCCCCGTTAGCTTCATTAGCTAGCTGCACAGACTGAACCAGGGCTTATAAGCCCTGCTTATAAGCGGAGGTGTGACTGTCCATCTGTTTTCTTACTCGACTGGTGTAATATGACTCTTCCACCCATCATATACTTTGATCGGTCACATTGAAATAACTCAAGAAAACACAAGGATGAGTACAGTGTCTGTTTTGATCCATATAGCCATTTTAAGGCCTTTGTGTTTTGGATGAAGACTTGAGGGTGTTTATTTGTCCATGACAGCTTTAATATGTCAGGTCCCATCTGGGTGTGTAATTGCATGTGTCTTCTATTGGCAAAACAAATGTATTGACAAAAAACATCTTCCTTGACACATATATCATTTTGTTTAGTTGTCAATGAAATGCCCTTCACTAGTAGCAGAGAAAGCAGCAATAAATCTTTGATACAAGTATCATGCTGAGTAAAACTCTATAAGAGTTGATCTTGCACCAGATAATCCCATCTTAACACCAGCCGGTTAACATGGTCTGGGCTTAACTATTCTCTTAATGAAACTCCTTCTACTGTAATGTGTAGTGTAGCTAGGAAAACGTATGCCTTTCAGAGATCAATGGAAATCAAAAATGCAGTTCTTAAAACTCACTAAATCTTTTCATTGCATCACAGTTATGGAAGCTGGGTGGATGAATGGATGGAGTTATTAAAACTGCCTTTAAAGAAAGGACAAAAGTCCCCACCCTGTTATTCCCTGCATTGTACCAATAGCTTCCAGGATAGACATCAGACCCCTGTGACCCTGCATAGAACGAGCAGATATAGAAAACGTATGAATTGCTGGTGTTTTTGGTGCGTAAAGTCAAGGTAATACAATGTTAGCAGTGTCCAGCTTGCAATGAAACTAAGGCCCAATCCCAATTCTATTTTAAACCCCTTTGCCTACCCCTCACCCCTTCCCCTTGCCCCTTGAAATGAAGTGGAAAGGGGTAGGGTTAAAAAATTTCCCCTAAGAAATGGGACACCACTACTACACTGTTATACGTCATCATCCATTGTCACTACCTCCTAACGTTACGTCAGAGGACATGCGCCGATGTTTATCACAAATTCCAAGATGTCGCCGTCAGTCATATCAGTTGCCTGGATTGCAGCGATTTTTTTGCATTTGTCTTCAGCAAATCACGCGAGACGAAGAAGACGACGATATCTTCGGCACT